AAAATTATTTAAAAACACTATTTGACTGCTGTGAAACTAATGATACAAAACAGTAGCTTGTATATTTGGTGGTATGGATGTCTTATAAATTAAGACTATTTGCGCTTTTCCTGTTTGTTCTGCAGTTAACTAATATAACAATTCCCAAGTATCAGAGGGATAGCCGTGTTAGTCTGAATCTGTAAAAAGCAACAGAGGGTCCTGTGGCACCTTTAAGACTAACAGAAGTATTGGGAGCATAAGCTTTCGTGGGTAAGAACCTCACTTCTTCAGATGCAAGAAGTGAGGTTCTTACCCACGAAAGCTTATGCTCCCAATACTTCTGTTAGTCTTAAAGGTGCCACAGGACCCTCTGTTGCTTTTTGCTGGGCCTACAGCTTTCCCCTAATTGAGAGATCAACTATAAAACATCCGTGACGGTTCATGAGATGCCACAATAACCTCTACTAACGAAGGCTGATGGGAAAAGGTAGGAAAGGGACAGGGAAAGATTGAATTAGTCCAGACCAGGGACTGTGTTAACATCATGCTTGGTAAACGGAAGTGTGGATGAGAAATAGGTGGGGTCAGGAACTAGCCCTGAACGGTGGACAAATATGGGGATGGGCTGTTCCGCCCATCACTCCCTTTTGGGGTCGTTATAGAAAGAAATTTGGGGGAGTGGGAGAAAAATTGGCAACGTGAGCAAGCTTCACCATCACGGCTTCCCCCACCCAACCCCCCGGACTCCTGGGACCCCAGACCTTCTTTGTCTTAATCCTGAGAGCTGTCCCGACCGAACGAGGCCAGAAATCCAGACGACATCTCCACCAGCTCCAGCTGTACCCCAAGTCCGCCTGGGATGAAACAGGATTGGACTTTAGCAAGCCCAGCTCCGACCCAGCTGAGCTCACTTCTCTTTCCCCAAAAGGGCCGTTACTACCCTCGAAGAGATGGTCAGGCGAGGTGGCTTTTACTTCTCCAGGCTCGGGCTGGCCACAAGGAACGAAGGAGGTTGTGCAGATGGAAGCCTCGTTTAATAGTTGACATTTCAACCTGTCTCTCCTTGGTTCCTGGAGCTTTCAATCAAAGGGTAAAAGGATTTTGAATGGGGTGTTGGCCAGGGCTGAGCGCTCTGGCTACCAAACCTCGTTTAACCCTTTAATGTTGGGCAGAGGCTGGGGCACCGCCTCTCGGGGAACTGGATTCGCTATTTCCCTAAAACCACCGTGGCTGACGTTAATTGGGGCAGGCGGCGTGGCCTAGCGGACGAGATGCTGGACTGACATTCAGCAGATCTTGGCTCTGCCACTGGTCGGCTGGGTGACTTTGGCCAAGTCACGGTCCCCCTCGCTGTGCCTCAGTTTCCCCCCTCTGTAAAATGGAGATGCTAATGCTGCCCTCCTTGGTTAAACGCTTTGAGCTCTGCTGATGGAAAGTACTCTACAAGAGCTAGGCTCTTAGCATCCTGTCGTTCTCTACTGACCACGTCCTATATTGGCCTCCCCATGATTTTACCCAGAACCAATATCAAGGTAACCAGCCTACATGTACCCAGTTCATTCCATTGACCATTTCAAACACTGGCACAACATTAATGGGTCAGAGAGCGCCTCGGCCAATTCTTTG